CTCTATGTGGAGTCAAGGAGATGGGGTATGGAGAGGATTTTATTAGAGTTTTAGTGCAATTATTTGGTATTTTACTGAAAATGAAGGTATAGTGAATATTTTAAAGAAAAAACAGAAGGGAAAATTTGTTCAATAAAGATTTGGTAATGTGAAAAGTTATGAATGAAAAAATATTTTTGATGAATTAGCAAAATGTTGTTGTGGGTTATGAGTGAAAAGTTATGAATGAATTTGTGTGTAGTGTAATTGAAATTGTGACTCAAGAAAAAATTGATTATTGAAATAGAGAAAAAAAATTTTCTATCATTGAGTGTCTATGCTTAGTATTGACTGAAAGTGTCTACCAATTCTATGCTCACCATTTGACACGAGTAGGTGTTTACCAGCATTAAAAAAAATGAGTTACCCTTGGTTATTATACCATTTGAGTGAATGCGTCTACCATTTGTGTTTACCCGTAGGGGCTGGGGATGTACAAAACGTGACGCAACACTTAGGGTAGTGACACGTACGAGGACACCTATGACGTCACACCCACCTGTGTTTACTTGACGGTCAGTGACGTCACACCTCACCTTTCTTGATTCATCTTGTTGTATCTATAGGGGGGTTACCTTCACCACACTACTTACCCCATAGGGAGAACCTTACCAATTGTGTGTGTGTGTGTGTATGATTTTGATACACACTCCTAGAGGGTCTACCACAATGTTTGAGATGTTGCAATTATTTCGAGGTAGAATGTCACCACTTGTATTACCTCTAATATGCCAATGTACCGGGAAGAACCTTCACTGACATTCAGGTGGGCAGGAACACTCGGAAACTGGGAGGTGAACAGGAGTGCAGCCATTCAGTCTAACCACCAAAATTTGCTCTGCTTTTTGGCCTTTGCCTATGTAATTAAGTAAAAATACTAAGATAAACTTTGAATTTTTATTTCTATTTATTAAGTATATATATAATACTATCATTTCGTGAAAACTGAGCTATTCTCAGTACTCACAAGTGTGCTCGAGGTGGGGGACCGCCTTTTTCATGGGAAGGGGGGGCAGGCAGCTGAAGCAAAGGACACTCCTTTGTACTTTCTCATGGATGACAATTATGGGCAATTATCTGTCACTGACCTAGTCAGTGTTCGCGAACAGTCTGGTAATTATGTCAATTAACAACCATTGAGACTCAGAGCTGTTTATATAAGTCACTCATCTGCTTAGTAACACAATAAGCAGAGATCTGCTGCCCTGGCCTCTGGCTGGACAATCTGGTGACCTTGAAGCAGATCTTGATGACGCTCCAGAGGAGGAGAGAGGAAGAGGAAACAGCTGTTGTGGGAGTGAAGGTGGAAGGTGTCGGTCCTATCAAGGAACAGCCCTTAGTCGAAGGGGAGATCATTTTTGAAAAGGAGATCATTAACCTGGCAGAAGGTGAACAGGAGGTGCGCAGTCATTCAGTCTAACCACTAAAAACTTGTATGTAAATCAATAAAAATATTAGCAAATTTTGATTTTGATTTTGATTTATATATAACTATATAGTACTATCCTCTCTTGTCTAAACAAATATATAAACAATATCACACCACTTAAGCCTCTCCCCACCTAGAGCATTCAAGCAGATAATATATGCCAATTTACCCAGAAGAGCTCTTTCATTGTTGCTCGGATGGATGGGAGGTTAAGGGCTGCACAAAGGCTTCCCCAGATGAGAATTATGGGCATTTATCTATATATATAAAATTTTTCTCTCACTGCTTAAGCCTCCCCACCTTGAAAGTACTAGTCCTCGCGAGAATAAACGATGCATGCTGAAGAGAATAACTCATGCGTGCGGGCAGATAATGTGCCGATGTACTGCGGAGTCACAGGCTGGCAGGCAACACTCACTAGGGGACTGCACCCAATATTTCCCATTATCACATTCTTTCCCATACTCTTTTATCTTTGAACCCGGTAGTGTTGGAAAGAACTAGCAGTACCAAGAATAAAAAACGATACGAGCGGAGGAGAAATATCCCCTTGAATCTGTATACTGACCTTCACATCTCTCACAGCCATTTCCATGCTTTTATCCCTGCCTGTGATCAGGAGTCAGAAGTGATCATCTCTCTCTTTTCTGCTTAGTAATACATGGTAATAAGGGTAACTATCTCCTTTTGGGATGATTAAACTTACTAAACTCTGTACCCTGACAGCTCGAGGGTATGCTCTCCCCCATTATCACATTCTTTTCCATACTCTTTATCCCCGATGTCGGATGTGATCTCCTTGGGGGATGATTAAATTCTGTACCCTGACAGCACCTGTCCCCATTATCGCATTCTTTCCATACTCATAATCCTTGATTGGCGGAAGTGCCTCATTTTGTGGTCAGTGTTTCGATTCGGTCACGAATCCTCTACTTAGCCCCCTTGATAAACCCTCGAAAAGTAAAATTTACCATACAAACCAGATTAAAATATTTAATAGTCTAAATAAAGTCCCAGTAATGACTCTCTCCTATGCCTCTGTGAACGACCCTGATTCCTTGCACACCATTTCAGAAATTCAAGTTAAGCTTCCTAATTCAATCCTTTTCAAGGACCATAGCCGTTTAATGCTGGGACTGTCTAAAAATCAAATAATAGGTCTAACTGCCCTTTTACAAACTTACCCTGACATATTTACGGATGACCTGAAAAAATGTACACTGGGGTATCATGATGTAGATGCTGGAAACACTTAGCCTCTAAACTCTCCCCATACATGTAAGCTAATCCTGAAAAACAGGGGCTATTTCAGCAGGTGGAGTCGTCATCCTGTCCCTAGGCTTCACCGTGTATCCTTGTCAAAAAGTCTGATGGAGGTTTCCAAATGTGTACAGACAGCTGTAATGTGAATGAGGTCATTATTCCAGATACCTAACCACTGCCACATTTGGATGATATAGTGGACTTTGTGGGTAATGCTACTTTTGTTTCCAAATTAGACCGCCTTAAAAGTTACTATCAGGTACCTTTGGCAGATAAGGCAAAAGAAATTTCTCTCTTCAAAATTCCAGGAGGTCACTACCAATGTAAAAATAACCCCATTCGGAATGTGGAACTCGCCGGCAACGTTCCAGAAGCTATTAAAGGACTGGAAGGCACGGCAGCTTATCTAGACGATATAGTGGTAGTTTTCAACATGTGGACCAACATGTTTCCCTACTTACAGCTCTCTTTGAGAATTTTAAGAGGTTCCAGTTAACTGTTAATTTGTGCAAATTATCCTTTGGCCAGCCCACTATTACTTTTTTGGGCCATGAAGTAGGTAATGGTAAAGTAGCCCCTAGATTTGCTGAAATTCTTGCCATTATGAATTACCCAGAACCTCATGATAGGAAATCCCTCCAGCATTTCATATGGATGGTACATTTCTACAGACGATTCTGTAAGATCTTTGCAGATGTTGTAGTCCCCCTAACCTCACTTACAAGTCAGAAACAAAAATTTCAATGGACCCCAGAGTGCCAAGAAGCTTTTACTAAAACCAAACGGCTACTTTGTACTGCACCCATTCTCCTGTCCCCTGATTTTTCAAAACCTTCTATGTTACAGGTTGATGCTTGTGAGTCAGGGGTAAGGGCAGTACTCCTTCAAAAATCTGAGGAAGAATGCTTGCAGCCTGTGGCCTACTTCTCTGCCAAGTATCAACCTCACCAAAGGGCTTATGCCACCAGTGAGAAAGAAGCCCTAGCTCTGATACTTGCATTGGAACATTTCGAGGTCTACATGGGGCAGTCGTCCCAAGTGTTCACAGTCTACAGCGATCACAATCCATTGATCTATCGCTATGAAAAACCACAACACACGTCTTATGAGGAGTCTCAGGCTGAAACCTTAAAATATACATATTGCTGGCAAGGAAAATAAGCAGGCTGGTTCCCTTTCCCATATTTAATTCAGGTTATGATGTGTCAGGGACCATATGGGAAGCCTAGCTCTTTTTTCCCCCCATTTATAAAATGTGTTTTAATGTTGTTGCGTGTTTTTGTTTTTGGTGAGAAGACATTCTGCTGCTGCCCAAAGGTGTCTTGAACCAATGTTAGCCCTACTGTATACTGTCTCACTGTAGGATGGAGTTTGACTTAAAGTCTAGAGAAAAGTTTAGCCCTATCTAAAGAGCTGGATGGTTGAGACGAAAGGTGGTTCCATTATTGTTCAGTGCTATGGCATGCTACCCATGGAAGTGGAGGCCTAGTCGTGGCTATTAGAGCTCTTTTGGGGTGGGGGTATGGCATGCAAAGAGTACATTACAATTTATTCGGCATAAGTCACAATCCCATATAGGCTGCCTCCCAACCAGCAAACCAAGTGCTAAGGGTTTAACGCTTATTGTGGTACCCTTCGTTAAATCAGTACCTTCTTTCATTGACCAATCACAGGCAGGCCCGCTAAATGCTGGGGCAATGTGGTTCACTTGCGGTCACCATTTGGCAGACTTGCCTACCTGCTGGTTGATTATGTTGCTCTCTCTCTCTGGCTTTTTCTTTTGCCATTGTCAACGTCCTCTGGTACACTCACTATTCAATCTCTGTACATAAGTGTACATACTTGTATATATCTGGCAAATTATGTCTGGAGAAGGAAATACATGTTATAGTCTATCTGCTGAGTTTGTTTTGCTCCAAAAACCCATTATGACCAGGTCACAGGCCATTCATAACCTGTATTCATAATAGTACTCCTTAATGATACCAATAACAAAATATATGTGGTAGGTATAACACAATATTAATGGTAGGTATAATATCATTAGTAAGTATAAATTATTTAAATTTCTTATACGAAAATCAAAATTTCCTTAGCAAATATAATAAAATATCGTAGAAGATAGGTATAATTAGATGAGTTTTGGTCACTGCATGATTCACGAGAAGTTTCCCGGCACACAATAAATTGAGACTCTCAATCTTATTGATGCGAAAAACGCTTCACCCTCCCCATTCTAGCCAACATTACATCTAAAGCAAGTACATACTGTTGTGGCTTGTATAGCAGCATCTAAGTGCATTGTGATGGTATGCAGAATGTTGTTGTACTGCTGAACTTCTCTCTTGATTAAATCAACTAACTCCTTGTCTTCACTCTGTTTGACTTCTTCAATCTGAGTTATTTCCGCTGGTACCTGCGAAAAATAAACTATATGAAGAAAAATTGTTTTCAAATGTGCAGCCATTGGGATCTGCTAGGACAGATGCACGTGCATAGGCATCTGCTAGGACAGATGTGCAGGCATGAGCATCTGCAAGGGAAAACAAGGGGCAAGCAGTTGTTCTACCCATTACTAGACCTGAGTCAAGAAAACACGACAACAGTACACCGAGATGTCTGCATTTACGTGCTCAGTTTAGAAATAAATATTTGTGCTCCTAGTCTACGTTACCCAAAAAGTATTCCTGAAATTATAATTTTGAATTTAAAATTGAAATTTGACCTTGAAAGAGAACTTTGCCCTTATCCTTGCCCTAGTTGGAATAATATGAACTAAAAGAATTAAAGGCACACGTCAACAACACTAGGACATATATTTATGTGCTGGTATTTGTTGACGTTGCTTTTTAAACCATACAAAATTAGAAGCACGGTTTGCTAGTGACTATTTGTTTGGGACACAGAAAACCAATCATAACAAAGTTTTAACCTGATTTGTAACTATTCACATACAACATACATTTCGAAGAGTATGTTGGATCAAAATGTTGTTGGAAGTTTCTTCTACAGAGGACCGGCTGTTTGTGAATTATTTCAGTCATGTTAGTGTAGGTTATGAATAGTTACATGCACAGTCTCGTGAGTTGTGAATTGTTCCAGTCATGGTATTGTTGTTTGTGAATTGTTACAAGCAAGATAAGGTGTATCTTCAATTGTTCCAGCCATAGTATTGTGGACTGAGAACTGCTATAACCATCATACTGTTACTGTTGTTCCAGGAAACATCGTATGGTTGTACTATATTGGCCATGCGACCACAAGTGGCAGAAAATAAACGTCATAATACACACTTTTAGTTGGGTTATTGAGGCTAAGACTTTGGCTAGCTTCAAGTTTAGGTTGGATAAGTACATGAGTGGGAGGGGTTGGATTTGAGTGGGACTTGCACATCAGAGCTTATTTCTTGGGTAGCATTGAAAATTGGGTTGGGCAAATGTTAGTGGGATGAATTGTAAAGGACCTGCCTAGTATGGGCCAACAGGCCTGCTGCAGTGTTCCTCTTTTCTTATGTTCTTATGTTCTTAACAGATAATATAAACTAAATTCATAATCTAAAACTGCTTCACATCAAATAATTAAGCTATTATTATTTAGTAGTTTTAGCCCAAGTCTGTCTGCCTAAACCTATGTGCATTACTCTAGTGTTTACCATAAATATGTAAAAAAGCAAGCAACTCACTGTATGGCCAGGATTAGCACCCATGAAGCACCAGTCCTTGAACTACATGTATACTGTTACCTGCACAAACCAAGAAAGGTATCCCCGTGTTGCATAACCCCATTCACATGTATACAGTAATGTGGAAAATACTGTATATATTTTCTAGAAATACAGTAGTTATATGTATATAGATGGCCATACTGTATTTAATAAAAATTATGTTATCGAAAATGGGAAGCTGCGCCTGCACAGAGGGGACTTGCCATTGTTGTTTTGAATTTGGATTAGAAACATTGGTGAAATCGGAAGAATTTTTCGTGCTCTAGAGGTTAAAATTGGGCTGACACCTCTCAAATAGGAAACAAAATTGTTGGATGTGCATTCCTGCATAACTTGAGATATCAGGTGACAGGACAAGACAGCTCCAGGAACCTCAGATAAGCTGTTTAACTTATGTTTAAACTCTGGCCAGTAAATTTTTCAAAAATGTAGGCAAAAGGGGGAGGGGTCCTGTACATGACACATTAATCTCCAGTCAAATTGGTGAGTGATATTATGATATATTTTCCTTCTGTTATGTAAATGTGTGTATATATAATCACTTATTAACTTTAATATACAGTCCACAAATTTATATATTTACCAGAATTCGTGGTGTATGTATATTTCATTTGTAATTAATAGGTCCAGAGCAACTTGTGGATATGACAGTGGTAGGTATCGAAGGGGGACATTTTTTGCAACCTAGGTGTCCCAATTTCCTACTTGTCTAACTGATAAATAATAATTATCTTTGTTCATTTACTGTTATGTACATAATGATATATTCAGATAAATGTAATTTTCCACATTTAATGCTCCAGAATGGAAAATAATTTTATTGCAATAAATATTAGCAATGACGATTTAAAATGAACCAGGAAAAGGAGAGGCCAACAAAATTTATCACGTGGATGCCAATTCCAATTACTTTAATAAAAAAGCCAAATCAGGACAAACATAGCCCAAAACAAATTCAAGCCTTTCAATAAGAAAAAAACAGTTTTTCTCAGAGAGACAAATGTCTTAAAATATTTCAAAATATTAAATCTGAAGCAGCTCAAAATTTCCATTAAGTTATTTCCAATCAGCACCTCTGGATGAAGCACTGAATTTATGCCAGCAATCAAAGGATTTAAATTTTCCTACTTTCTCCATGAAAATAGGAAAATTGAGACTTACAAATGCCGAAATGAACCATTTTTTTTTTTTAGTAACCTATACATGGAATTTTTTGAAACAAGGCTGCTTAACACAATCCTCCCTAATAGAGCTAAATGGTTCAGATATGTTGATGATATTTTGTGTCTTATGCCCAAAAATGTAGATATACACCATTTCATTGTCAAATTAAACAACTTAGCCCATTCTATAAATTTTACTGTTGAATTTCAAGAAAATAACTCATTGCCTTTTCTAGATGTTTTAATTATTAAGTGTAATAATGAATTCAAATTTAAAATTTACAGAAAACCTACAAATAACTGTTCCTATGTCCACTATTATTCTTCCCATCAAGATAGAGTTAAACTGTCTGCTTTCTCATCAATGTTTTTTAAAGCATTACGAATTTGTAGTCCAGAGTTCATAAATGATGAAATATCCAAAATTTATGAAATAGGTAATGATTTGAAATACCCAAGAAATGTAATTGATAAATCTTTTAAAGTTGCTAGAAATACTTTTTACAATCCAAAAAGGGACAACCAGCCTTATTCAACAAAAAAATATGTTGGTTCTTCCTTACCATGAAAACTTGGTTGATATGCCTTTTCTTCTTAAGACTTTTAATATGTAAGTTGTATTCAAAAATCTTGATACAGTAAAAAAAACATTTGATAAAGAATTTCCCCCAAAATGCTTAAGGATGTGTCTATAAGATTCCTTGTAAAATTTGCGATAAAGTTTATTACGGTCAAACTGGTAAAAATCTCGAACTAAGATTAAAACAACATAAATATAGCATTAGAACTGGACAAGATTCCAATGTTCTATTTATTCATGTAAGAGATTTTAACCAATTGATTTTCAAAAAGTTGAGAAAGTAGTATCAAGCGAGTCCATGGTCGACAGGAATATAATTGAATCTTGCTTCATAAAAAGCAGTTTTGACAATAATATCAATATTTCCTTTTGTTTATATAAATTAGATCCATTTATAATTAATATAATTTGGGAAGAATTTAATAATATATTGGACAAATAATAATTTTTTTAAATTTCTTATTTCTTGGGTAGAATAGTTTGTTGGTGGGTTGTATGAAGGACCTGTCTAGTTCGGTCGGTGGGCCTGCTGTCTCGCATCAGGTGTTTCGTTGTTGTGGGATCTGATAGTGAGGTGTGGGCTACCCCTTTATATACCTTCCTTTGATGCTTTACTTTCATTGTTCCTTGATAATGTGAGTAGTCACAAAAGTGCTTGGAACTTCTCTATTCTTTCACAGTGGTAGTTTTGCATTTTCTGAAATCACCTGTTTACTGTGATCTTATTGTGTGTGTGTATTATATATATATATATATATATATATATATATATATATATATATATATATATATATATATATATTATATATATATATATAATATATATTATATATATATATATATATATATATATATATATATATATATATATATATATATATATGTGTGTGTGTGTGTGTGTCGTGGGGAATAGGCAGAACTTGCGATCTTGGCTTAAATAGCAACGCTCATCTTGCCATATAGGACAAGTGAAAATTTGTGTATGCAATAATTTCGCCAAAATCATTCTGAACCTAACGAAAAAATTATATTTCACTGTGTTTGTTTAGTATTAAATTATTGTAAACAAATAAAAATATATTTAGTTGGGTTAGGCTAAAATAAATTCCATTTGTTATAATAAGGTTAGGTAAGTTTTCTAAGATTCTTTTGGTGCAAAATGAAAAATATTTACATTAACATTAATGAAAAAAATATATCTTTAAACGTAAAAAGGAAAATTTCAGAAAGGACTTAATTTTAAATGAGTTCTTGCTAATTGACCCGTTTTAAATATTCGGCACGACATATAAATATATATATAATATATATTTTATATATATATATATATATATATATATATATATATATATATATATATATATATATATATGTCGTGCCGAATATGTAAAACTGGTCAATTAGCAAGAACTCATTTAAAATTAAATCCTTTCTAAAATTTTCTCTTATACGTTTAAAGATATATTTTTTTCATTAATGTTGATGTAAAAATTATAATTTTGCACCAAAAGGAACTTAGAAAACTTACCTAACCTTATTATACCTAGAATAATTTATTTTAGCCTAACCTAACTAAATATATTTTAGATTTGTTAACAAAATTTAATATTTAAAAAATAGTGAAATATATTTTTTTCGTTGGGTTTCCCGAATGATTTTGGCAAAATTTTTTCCATACACAAATTTTCCCCCTTTTTCCTATAGGGGCAAGATGAACGTTGCTTTTTAAAAGCCAAGATCGAAGTTCTCCCTTTTCGGCCGAACACACACAACACCAACACAACACACACACCACACACACACACACACACCACAAAAAATATTTAATATATATAATTTTTTAAAAATATAATTTTATATATATTTTATAAAATATATATATATAAAAAAGATGGGGGTGGTAGGGGAAGTGGAATATTAAAACGGCTTCGGGGAAGAAAAAACCCAAA